CTGCTTTTACCGGTTCTCACGGTCTCTTCGCTTACGGATTTCTTATATTTTTCCTTCTACCCTGAAGATGGAGGCGATACGTTCCTCCGAAACGTCGGTTAACACCACATATACACGGTGGCAAATCCCAGAAGACTGCTCTCTTCAAAACATTCATAGTACAACTAACAAAGTGTTCATTCCAATAGCACAGACTTGTATTATTGTTACTTTTGCTGCCTTTACATATTTTTATGGCGAACGTGTTACTTAAGTGTAATGTATATTCTTCCTGCCTTAAATTCTTAGGATATATTGTATTTAGACATCCTGTTGCATTATTATAACTCTTGTAGTGCTTAAGTGAGAACGAGGTATAAGCAAGGGGCAAAACGTAACCACAACAACGGGCTTACATATAGAAAACAACAGACCGCTGCAATATAGACATCCAAGGAAAGGATCGAAACATATGTTTCGACGAGTGGACGACGCCTAGTGTGGTGTAAAAAATTTTTTAAATTAAAAATTTTAATGAATTTTAACAGAAGTAAATTACAACGTATGGGAAAAGGTAAAATTACAGCTATCCCTGTAACAGGCCGTGGAGGGCCACAGGGTTGTGAGACGTCGAGGCTCCCACATTTTCTAGACAATCAGCTCACAGATTACGGTAGATTTGTCAGCCTTAAGCGCCGGCCACCGTTTAACGTGCAGGAAAATTCATGGCAGAGGCTGCGTCGACTCCAGGGTCATTGTGCCGCTTGGAAGGATTAGGTCAATTGAAACAAATCTGCCTCATTTTGAATCGAACTCGCGACCTTCCGGTTTGTAGCATAGTGCCTCACCCAACTATGCTACCGCGTATGATAATTGAACTAATGTTACATGTGAAGTGAATGAGTGACATTCAATACAGTATAACAGTTTTGGCAAATTAAAACACCTGATGATGGCCGGTTGGAGCTGAAACATGTTGTGAAAGGGACGTGTAAGGGAACGAATACAAATAGTTGCATTGTTGATAGAACTGTATTGTGTTTGAGTTCTTAAGATATAGCCTCAGCGTTTCGCGTCAGCGTTATATTTGTAATCATTGATTTACAACAAAAAATATAAAATAATATATTTAAGTATGTTCATAACCTATCGATGCACCAAATTTCGCATACCGATCTCCAATATTCATTAGTTATCTCCAGAAAACTAAGCACTGAAGAAATTTGTTATGATACAGCCATACTATTTGGACTTCTTTACATTCTACAAATAAGTACTTCAACGAACAACGCACATTTTTCGAAGATAAGGTATCTTACATTGCTGCAGGTCCTAAATAAGTGTCATTAATTCAGTCTCGACCTCATAAGCTTGGAGTTCGCCATGTTATTATTACTTATTTTAAAAAATAAAATACACTGCGTTGGGTTGGGCTCCATTGGCACATGGTTCACAGGGCGTTTCGTAAAATTAGATCATGTGGCTTAAATGTTGAAGGGGGACAAACACAAGACATACAGATGGCACGGTGATCACATAAGCTCATATAAAGAAGAAAACTGGGTAAATATACGAAGAGATGGAAATAGAGTTACATCCGAATTAATAAAATTGTGGACAGATTAAAAGGAAAGTCTGCGTTTATAGCTAATTTCTAAATAAAGCATTGTCTTTTGGGACGTGGCGCTATGTGGTCCTGTAAAATTTAACCAACGTTTCGGAGGAATATAATGCGTCCATCTTCAGGATCTTAAAGTAAACCAAATAAGAATCCAGAAAAAGTTTGACTCAAATTATTCGTAAACAACTTGAGACTGAAGAGTATTACCGCTTGGGATGTGACGCCGTTTATTTGGACAACACTTCCTTCCTGATTTGTGGGCTTAATCTTAGAAATCTGAAGACAGAGGCCAGCGAGTTTCTACCACACTACACGGCATCACATCCCAGAATATAGAGCTCTCGATAGTCGCCATTGTGGAAACCGAATATAAAACACAGTTTCTAGCAATTCTGTTATAAATATAATCTATACATGTGAAGGCGATATCCACAGAAGCATATGAACCTAACCTAACATTTCACTGTGACAGCTTCACTAGGGGCGAGTACATTTAGGCAGCCAATTCAAATCACGTTCGGCTGGGAACTTATCCACACAAATTGGATAGTAGCACCTTATCGATAAGTATCGATTGAAACAAACTAATCACTGCCCCTCACACCACAGTAAAGCCAGTGTTCCCCAGGCTAATAGGCCGTTGCAGGCGATCAAATATGCAACACGGTTTGCAGTCCAATTTAATTTCAGCTGAAAGCCTGTGTACTCTGATTTTAAACGTAACGCGGTGATTAGTTCTGCTTTAGATTTTGAGAGGCTTGCTACGGGGCAAGAAGGCTCTGTCGCAATTACAGTTCTCTACGTTGACACGTGTTTCATAACATAGGGGTGCCCAAAATAGCACCACAATTCTTAAGTAGGTAATATTCTTTTTTTTTTTAAGGATTTATTTACTTACTTGTAGTTTTATTTTGTTGGATCTGACTTTCTCATAGTGGCGGCTATGACAACTGCTGCCATCCGGGATATTACGCCGTGTAGTCTAGTAAATATTCACCCTCGAAGACTAATAATGAATCTGCCTTAATGGTCATGACAAGCTGCTAAATAAGCAACAGGCTCACTCAGGTTACTATTTGGCTCTTCATCGTCACTTGCTTTGGGTAGCATATCTTCGAGCCTGAAGATGGACGAATCGCGATTCTCCGAAATGTTAAACCTCTACAGAAACACAAAGGGTCGCATCCTAGGAGATATACTGTTCTTCATTGGCCGAGTCAGTATAGTGACCGGCTATGGTATGGAGAGCCGGGGTTCGAATCCCGGCAGGAGAACATTTTTTCTCTTCTCCACAGCGCCAAGACCGGCCATGGGACCCACACAACTTCCCATCCAATAGGTATCTGGGGCAGTTTCCCAGTAAGTAAAGCGACCGGGGCGTGAAGCTGGCCACTCACCTCCATCTAGTGATGAGGTAAAAAATTGTGGAGCTATAACTCCACTTCCCCACACGTCTACATGCCATAGTGCTTAATTAATTAAGCTCGGAGGCTTACATTACACGAAGTCTGTATATTTCAAGTCCAGTACTGTCTTTCAGGATGTGCCCTCATATAGTCTAGTAAATTCTATCGATGCTTTGGTGGAATATACTTACTTCACCTTTTCTGTATAATTACTTAATTTACTCTTCGGCCTTGAAGACGGAGACAGTAAGTAACCCGAAACGTCGGAAAACTTCTACCTGACCACAAATCTGTAGCGCCCAGGACACAGTATTCCTCTGTGCACAGTCGAATGTTCGAATAACAGTGAATAATGAGCCTAAGAGGACGTGGAAGGAAGCGGTCGTGGCATACTTGACTGCAGCTACCTCAAGTGGCTGAGGAAAACCACGGAAAAGTAAAAGTTTGACCTGTCGGTGTCCCGGCCGAGATTGGAACCGGGTACGTTATGAATGCAAGTCACAGGGTTTACCGCTTGAGCCAATCTGTTCGTCACTTTCTTAAACAAAAACTCCAATGTGTGATCTCGCGATATATTCTGTGCGCACGGCCCATTTCAATTTTTGAAATAACTGATTGATTTTCACGAATATTACTACGAACATTTACCACTAAAGGGCCATCCCGAACAACGTCGAATTCATAATTTCCTATAATCAGTAATAACAAAATAGCCGACACGCTAAACTGTATGCTGGGAACAACACTAGCGCCATTTATTTTGGGGTCTTGAAATGATGTGGAGATATATGGAACTATTGATATGGTAACCTTTCTTAGGATATACACGTAGGATAAAAACAAGGCATCCAGATAAATGTGTCCTTACTTTTCGGTTTGACGACGATAATTGTTAAAACACTGGAGACAGGCGTAATCGTGCGAAATCCGATCATGAAAAATCAAGTAATAAATATTGTTCGTAAGTCATCAACTGCTATCTACTAAGTAGGTAATTAAGTAGGTAAATAAGTAAATAATTAATTAAATAAATATTTTAATAAGAAATTATGTGCGTAAGAAGGTAAACAAGTATGCAAGCAAGTAAATTAATAATTAATTAATGGTCAGTCTGAATTTTTTCCTCAGAAGTGTGTTGAGGTGACCGTTGTGGCAGACCAACATACCAGGAAAAAAAAAACAAATATAGGATAAATGAAAGAATGAAAGAGAGGACAGAAAGATGAATGAAAGAAAAAAGAAAATGAATGGGAGAAACAAAGGAACGGAAAAGAAGAAAAACCGAAAGAAATGCAGACCGAAAGAAGGAAGAAAACAAGGGGTTTTACTCACAATTCCAAAGAGTGCAGGCATGGAACTATCAAGAGATTATGACATACACACTGTAAGAGAAGTCCTTCAGATTGAAGATTTGGCGTGAGACTAACAACTTCCCTTTAGGAAACAATATATGCTAACAAATTTAACGATGAATACTGGATGGATGATTTAGGATAATGAATAGGAAAAGGGTATAAGAAAAACATGCAAATGAAAAGTGGGTAGGAGCAAACTGAGGCAGTTAGAAGCTGTAAAGAATGATTAATAATCAAAGAAAGTAATAGAGATAGAGGTAAAAAAGGCAAATCTATCCCTGTAACAGGCAGGTTCTGAGACGTCGAGGTCCCCACATTTTCTAGAAAATCGGCTCAAAGATGGTGGTGAGGTTGTCAGCCTTAATCTCCGGCCGTTCTTTACCCCCAGGAAGATTCCTGGTACTCATTTCTGTTAGAGGCTGAATCGACCCCAGAGCCATGGAGCGGCTGGAAGGATTAGGTCAAATGAAAAATCCAACTACCTCATCGGTAATCGAACCCGCGACCTTCTCCGGTTTGTAACATAGTACCTCAACCAACTAAGCTACCGCATGCTCCGCAAAAAGATTGAGGTAAAAGAAAAATAACAGAAAATAAAGGTCACAAAATTTGTGAGCCAAGGTATTAACGTTTACTCACCGGCTGCGCACGCCAAGGATGGCCCTGACGCCAATAAACCTCGTCTTCTGTTTGCTCTGCCCCACCAGGAACACCACATCGAAGAGGCTGACGTTGTTGATGGTGTTCTCCTCATTGTTGAGGAACATGCGCGTGAAGTCCTTTGCCAGCTGATCGTAATCCTCGAATTGGTCTCGGACCGAGTCCAGCAGTGGGCTGGATGGCCGCATGTGGCCAATGGGACGCCATGACCCGCGCCTGGAATATAACACAACCTTAGTGTGACGTATGTAAGGGTTCTGAAGGATTATCTCTTTACAAAACATGAAGATTCCACAGCAGCGAAAACTTGTGATAAGTATATGCTAGGTTCCCTGACAATTTATACTTTCAAGGGGTTACAAAAGTTTCAGAGGACTCTACTGTTACTTTCTTCACGATATAAACATTTCTTTATAACCAATCAAGTCGATTCATTCAGCATCTCCTCTGACTTGCAATCAGAAGGAAAGCGATTCGAATTCCGGTCAGGATATCCATGTATCCCTAAACTTGTCACGGTATGAAGATTTGTGGTGAGCTTCATAACCCCTGTGTTCATTATCTCCAGAGGACAGTCCCGATACTTAAGCGTGTATGCCCCACAGGGCTAGTCTGGACACTGTGCAGTAGAAGAATCTACTACCTATGCCAAGAATCGAACTCCGATTTTTTTATCGTCCTATACAAAGCCTACTCACTACAGTGACTGAGCTATCCACATGACTCCCAGGGAAAGGGAACTGACTCTAACAAATTAAACTGAGAAGAGCTTCCTCTCGAGAAACTGACATGACTTCAGATCAGTAAATCCCTTGCCTTCTCCGCAACATAAGTTTCAATACCGTGTACAAACAGCCAGTTGAATCAATTCCACATCCTCGCTCTCCCTTTCTATAAAACCATGTTCACACTGTCCTTCCCGCCGAAGTCTAGTGTTCTATATATGACGAAAATAAATGGAAATATTTCAAGTCTTGCGAATTCTAGCGGCAAAACATTCACACCAAATGCTATTAAAAGCCGACTTATTTATAACAGTGGTTTATGTTACTCAAATACAAAGCTAAAGTGGTTCACAATAGCCAACAATCTGGATTGTGGAAATAGCTAAACCTGGATGAAAGTAAATTTGTCCGTGTACTTAACCAATTAAGCACTATGCCATGGAGGCTTTTAGGGGAATGGATTTATAGATCCATATTTTCTTGATCTCAACACTAGATGGAGGTGAGTGGCCAGCTTCACGTACCGGCCGCTTTACCCCGGGGAAAGAGTCCCGGTACCCAATGGGTAGGAGGCTGGGTGGCCCCCTGAGTCGATCTGGACGACGTAGAAAAGAGAAAATTATTGACCCTACCGGGACTCGAACTCCGACATCTCGGTCGCCCAGCCCGTAGCCAGTCGCTGTACCGACTTCGCTGTCCCGGCTCCCACCCTCCCTCGGTAACAATTATATTTCATTTTCCCCTTCAGGAAGGATGAGATGATCAGGGAATGCAGCATACATGGGAGAAATGAGAAATGCAAGAACAGTTCTGATAGGAAAATTGAAGGCAATAGATCATCAGGAAGAGGTCAGGATAGATGAGAGGATAATATTAAAGCAAACTTTAAGGTAAGAGGATGAGTGGGTGTGGGTTGGATTCATCTGGCTCAGGATAGGGATCAGTGGCGAGCTCTTTTGAACATAGTATTAAATTTCCAAGTTCTCTAGAAACCTGGGAATTTCTTAGCCAGCTGACCAAATGTTTGTCTTGAAGATTACTATCTTCTGTGATGCTACTCCTTGTAGTTTGTTCGAAGTTTACCGAGTTTTTGGTGGAATGTACTGCTTCCAACTTTTTTCACTGGCTCTACCGCCCTCCTTGGACCATGGCCTCTGATTTTCAGTTTCATGATTATTTTACAGACGGTAGGACTCCTTGGACGAGGGATCAGCTCGTCAAAATGCCTCTAACTAAACACAGGACAAAACAAACACAGAATAAACATATACACATACCAAATATCCATGCATTGTGTGGGATTCGAACCCACTATCCAGGGTTCCGAGCAAGCGAAGACAGTACATGCCTTAGACTGCTCGGCTACCGAGACCGGAACTGCCTCCATCTTCAGGGTTAAAAAGTTAACGTGGTAAGTAATGAGCAACTAGTTGGGTCACTCTGCTGATCTATTTTTGGATTATTCTTCAATCCTGAGGATTGAGATATTAAGTTCCTCCTGAAATCTGTAGATTTCTGCCATGCTACATGGCATCATATCCTAAAATATGGAGCTCTTCATAGTCGCTATTCTGAGAATCTCGAATCTTACAACTATCAGCTTCTCAAGAAGGACCGTACATCATTTAGAAAGTTAGACAGCGCCTTGTACAGCTTTCTTCTTTACAAGAGGGGAACTTCCAACAATAAGCTGCTTTCTGAAACCTCAGCGGAACGAATGGCAGTGTCCATCACAGCAGCCTCAACCTCATGTTTCGTCATGGCTGTCGTAGCTTCTAATTAAATTCGTGAAGGGACCAACAAAGAACGTCATCTAATTAAGCTCCTTGCTTTCAAAATGTGACATAGCCCCTGGTAAAATACAGACAGAGATAAAAGAACACGTTGCGTTATTATTTTTGTGTTATTAGAGGCAAAAATGTACATAGGTAAAGCCGTGATTATCCGCAGTGTTGCCCATGGCAAATAATGATAACTTACTTCATAATGTTATACCAGGTGCGCCCACAAAAACTTCATATTTGCTCTTTCTGTGTCAGCATTTGCTGCATGCTGGTTGGGTGAACTATCTTATTGTTGTGGATGGGCGCTCATTACACTCGGTGGAGCAAAAGGATGGCTTTAAAAACGGCAAAAAAGAGAACTTTTTTAAATAAACTCATGAAATTTTGCAGAGCACTTCTATATATATGTGCAAAGAGATATACAGTGGACAGAGCATGTAGCCATCACGGTTAATGTTGTCACTTTTATGAAGCCCCAATCAGAAGTACTCTTATACTGATATGCAGAAAAATGGTGTATTTCACTCGGCGCTTTGGTTTTTGTTATCAATTTTTTGTATTATCACGGCCTTGACGCATGTGCAGTGGAAGTGATTATGCAACATCTCGGTTTGTTCCTGATTTCCGGCGTGAATCAATCAATCAATCTTTATTCTTGTTGCTGCCACTTGGAGCAAAGAGAATCTGTGGAACACTTCGTTTCACTTCAGTTTCTTAATCTTAGACAGTCGGTAGGAATTCTTGGGTGGGGAATCTGCCCGCCGCAAGCCGCTACCTACACAGGGCAACACAAATAAAGAATAAACGCATAAAAACATCCATGCCTTGAATGGGATTCGAACCCACGATCCTAGCGTTCGAGCGAGGGAAGAAATTTCTCGCTTTAAACCGCGCGGCCACTGTGATCGGCAGACGTGACTATGAACATTTTATTAATGACCTTCTTAGAAAAGATGACAGATGAGTAACTTTAAAGAAATTTTATAATTCTTTGTTTTTAATGGTGTGTATGGATCACCAGTCACATTATCACAGTTTCACTTTTACTGACGCCTTTCTGGAAGAAACAGCGGAGAGTGAACTGAAAGTACATTTTACTGTTTGATTCTAATATTTCTTTTTTCTGTTCACTTCCGCCTTGTACGTATAAATTTCCGCTCTGCATCGATAACATCTCACCAGCTGCACTATGGTTTCGTCGGCTACTGCTATCAATCGGTCTATCGGCCGAAATAATCAGAATAAGCGGCGTCCAATTAATTCAGTTTGGTGGACACCACGCAAAAATATATTTTGAATGTTAAAGGAATATGTGCCGGTCACGATAGCCGAGCGGTCTAAGGCATGTACTGTCTTCGCTCGCTTGGAAACCGAGATTGTGGGTTCGAATCCCACTCAGGGCATGGATGTTTAGTTTGTGTGTGTGCGTTTTTCTGTTTGTGTACAAGTAGAGGCCTTGCGACGAGCTGATCACCCGCCCAAGGAGTCCTACCGAATGTATAAGATCGAGAAAAACCGAAGTGAACGGAGAAGTTCATGGAGGTAGGCCTAGGCCCACTGGGGTTGTAGACCCAAGGGGGGGGGGAAAGGAATATGTATTTTTACATTTTTATCTCCGTGTTTGATGATACCACAGAATGGTAATTATATCTCTAGATTTAAATCCTTTTGATTACTGTACTTTGTAAAGGTAAATTTGCCCTCGTGCTTAGCTAATTACACACTATGCCATGAAGGTGTATTGGGGAGTGGATGTATAGATCCACATTTTCTTGACCTCGGAACTAGATGGATGTGAGTGGTCAGCTTCACGTCACTGCCGCTTTACCCCCGGGGAAAGAGCCCCCAGTACCCTTTCGATAGAAGTTTGGGTGGACCCAAGACCCGGTCTGGACGATGTGGAGAAGAGAAAATTCTTGAATTTACCGGTACTCGAACGCCTACCCCTCGGTCGTCCAGCCAGTCGCCACACTGACTGCGCTATCTCGGCTCCTTACTGTACTTGGAACGAACTTAAACTAGTAGTGAATAAAGAGGAGGAAACAATTAACTTCCTGGACTTATGGCGTCTCTTATCACAAGATAACACCCGATCAGCCACCAGTTAAGGAAAAAGACAGATTCGAGCCATCATTTTAGAAAAGACGGGTGTCTTTTTCAGCATGGATTATAATAAAAATAGAATTTAATTATAAAGAATATGGTTATTTTTTATGGTTTTTTTTTGTTAATGAATTGAAGAAACCAACAAAGCTCTGTACACACACTCAGGCCCGTTCTGCACAACTTACGAGTATATGAGCTCCATTCAAACCTGTACAGCCATTCAATTTTACCATTTTTTAAACAATGCAATTTGTGTACCACCCTGTACCTTCCAATCCTTTAGCTACTCTTGTACCTGGAGGATTTCCGACAGGAAAGCAATACTGGCCACTAAATGAAGCCCCGAAGCTACGCGTCACTATGTGGGAACCGCTCGTTATATGCTTAACTCTCAGAGCGAGCTTATTACTGTACCAACCAAAATAACTGCTACGAAACGGTCTTTTTTTGGTTATAGAAGCAGAGATACAGACAGAGAGAGACAGAGTCTCCTGGCACTACTTCCTCGAATGAATCTACAAGTCTAAATATTATACATAAAATGAACCAGCAGAAAAATATTGAATTTATGACCTTATTAGGTGACAGATGGGTGCTAACG